TTTCCCCATGATGATACTGGCAATCAACTCCATGGTGGGATCTACCATAAGCAGTTGACTAGCTGCTTTAGGGATGTGGTCAGCTTCCTGTATGTAAGAAGCAACTTTGAGGAAGTTCTCTAGCTTATGGCATGCTTGATCCCTGCATGTAGCCGAATTGTTGCTCAGCAGCCTGCCATGCTCTGCTGATCTTGGGTCTTTCAGTGGACTTGAATCAGTGTCATGCCGTGTTGTTTGGTAACATCGGGACTGTGCCATTTTATTTGTTGACCGCCTCAGCAGCCAGTAGCTGTATGAGTGAAGAGATGCCTCTAGTGTCAGTGGGCCTTGAGCAAGAGGCAGAGCTGAAGCCTAAGGTCTAGGGGCTTTCACACAGCCCTAGAGCCTGGCACTTGGAACTTGGACTTCTAGCCTCCAGAAATTGTAAGAATAAACTTCTGTTTGTTAAAGCCATCCCCTTTGTGGTATCTTCTGTCAGAGCAGCATTAGGTAACCAAAACAAGACCCTACTTGTTTCCTTCACTGCTGGGTCCCCCACAGTTAACTCAGATGCTGTGTGTTGTTATCATTCAGTATTCACTTGAATGAGCGAAGAAATATTCTAGAATTTTGGAACAAAATGAGAGCCTTTTAAGAAAATATGATGAACATGTCTCATCTCACCTGTGCTGGCATTTTTGTTGCTTCATTCAGCAATTTCTGGAAGCAAATAAACAAAAACTTTTTTTTCGTGGATCATGCCCATTTTAGAAACCAGTGAAAAATACAAACATTAAAATACCCTACAGTTTTTTTCCTGAAATTATAATGGCTTCATGGACTTTTCTATAGCCATTCCATTTGATTATATCACTCCAAGTTTCTCCTCTATAGGCTTGTTTTTTTAACTGACCTTTATTCTTTTCTCACAGTTTTTTGGTATCTTTGCTCTATGTTTTTTCCTCCAGTTGTTACACTAGGCTATTGTATTTTATTATGAACATTTTTAAACATACAGAAAACTTGAAAAAAGTACACCTCAGACACCAGTATAACCACCACCCATATTCTATAATTAATAATTTATCATATTTCCTTTAACATATAACATATAACTGTCAGTTTCTGAGTCAGTTGCTAACATGATTATACCCCCCCCCATACACTTCAGCTTGCATGCCATTAACTAGAGTTAATATTTAATATCAACTCAAAAAATCAAAACCAAACTCACTGCCATCAAGTTGGATCTGAGTCATAGCGAACCCCTCCTTGGGTTTCTAAGGCTGGTGGCATAGTGCCTAAGGCATTTGACTGCTAACCAGAAGGCTGGCAATTCAAACCCACCAGCCCTCCTCGGAAGGAAGGTTGGGCAATCTACTTCTGTAGTGATACCACCTCGGAACCCACGGAGGGGTCGCTATGAGTCAGATCTGACTCGATGGCAATGAGTCTGAGTCATCACTATAGAAGTAGATTGCCCACTCTTCCTTCCAAGGAGTGGCTGATGGGTTTGAATCGCCAGCCTTCTGGTTAGCAGTCAAATGCCTTAGGTATTGTCCCACCAGAGCTCCTAAAAATGTAGCTTCTTAAATTTATTAATTGATAAAAGTATTGTTGTAATAAATACCCACATAACAGAAACATTGGTAACAACTTTTTAATGCTTAAATCATAATACTAATAGTGCAGATGTATTCGCTGATTTTCATAATAATCATGATCATTATCTAAATCTATAATAGATGAACTTGACACAAATCTGTTTTAATAAGTGTGTTTTTTTTCACTTTATGATGTTTTATTTTTAATGAAATAAAATACCTTTTTTTTTTTTTTTTTTTTTTTGCTTGATTTTTTTTTTTTTATTAGGATTTGGGTGAAGATTTACAGAGTAAATTCACTTTTCATACAGCAGTTCACATATACTTTGTCTCATGTCATTGACCAAAATTTACAATGCAGCAGCTCCCCTCCCACTTCCTCCCCATAGTTACCTCCTCCCAGTGTCCATCCCTTCATACTCTTTGAGAGGCCCATTGTCTGCCAACCCTGTATATGATCTTGGATACACTCTCCATTTAGACATACATAATTGTTTAGCTTGTTCACCCATCTATCCGTCCCTATACCCATGTTTGCTTTCATTGACAACTCAGTATTGTATTTACAAAGGGGTTCATATTTGTTGTTTGTACTGCCCATGTAACTCTCTCTGTCTTTCTCATCCTCAATGCTGCCATATTGGTCACTCACATTTGGTACATTGCCCTTCTCTTCACCCAAATCAATATTTATCTCTATCTATCTAACAGCATTCCCTCCCCTTCCCTCCCACCCCTGGTAACCAACAAAGACAATGTCCTCCAATATATAAACCTTTCCTTAACTTTCACAATAACAGACTAATACAATATTTGTCCTTTTGTGACTGACTTATTTCGCTCAGCATAATGTCCTCCAAGTTCATCCACGTTATGCGGTGTTTTGCAGATTCTACATTATTCTTTAGCGTTGCATAGTATTCCATTGTGTGAATGTACCAAAGTTTGGTTATCCATTCCTCAGTTGTTGGACATCTAGGTTGTTTCCAAGTTTTGGCTATTGTAAATAGTGCTGCGATGAACATCGGCGTGCATATATCTGTTCTTGTTATGGCTCTCACTTCTTTAGGGTATATACCTAGTAATGGGATGGCTGGGTCAAATGGTATTTGTATTTCCAACTTTTGAAGGAATCGCCATACTGCTTTCCACAATGGTTGTACCATTTTACAGTCCCACCAGCAGTGTATGAGAGTCCCAATCTCTCCACAACCTCGCCAGCATTTGTTATTTTCTGTCTTGTTGAACTTTGCTACTAGTGCTGGAGCAAGATGGTATCTCATTGTTGTTTTGATTTGCATCTCTCTAATAGCTAATGATCGTGAGCATTTCTTCATATGTTTGTTGGCCGCTTGAATATCCTCCTTGGTGAAGTGTCTATTCATGTCTTCTGCCCATTTTTTAATTGGATTGTTTGTCTTTTTGTTATTGAGGTGTTGGAGTGTTCTATAAATTCTAGAGATAAGTCCCTTGTCAGATATGTTATTACCAAATATTTTTTCCCAATCTGTAGGTTCTCTTTTGACTCTTTTGGAGAAGTCTTTGGAAGCACATAAACATTTAATTTTTAGAAGGTCCCAATCATCTGGCTTCTCTTCTGCTGTTGGTGCATTTTGAATTATGCTTGGTAGTCTATTTATCCCAAATATTAGGGCCCTTAAGTTTGAGCCTAAATTTTCCTTGAGAAACTGTATAGTTCTAGGTTTCACATTTAAGTCTTTGATCCATCTGGAGTTTGTTTTTGTGTGTGAAAATACCTGTTTTGATAAATGAATTGTTCTCTTTTGTGCATATTTATTACCATATGTAACAGATGTAACTGATGTACATCTTTCTGAAGCTTTTGTTACTTCTTGTTATCTAGATCAGTCTCTCTTTTCTTACTGGTTCTTGTGTGTTCCGTGTGGTATAGATTTTAAAAATCAATCGTCTATGAAGCTAGCAGTTTAAAATCTTGCAAATTAGTCCTTTATGCATTGCAGTTGGCATGATCTCTTTATGTTGGAGATTTGTACATCTGAGAATCTTACATTACACACACACATACATACACACAAATCAGTTTTTAAATTGAAATTACTATTGTAGACATCAAGCGGGAAGCACTCACCTCTGATCTAGGCATTATGTTCTGTTGTTGTTGTTATGTGCCACTGAGTTGGACCCAACTCATAACAACCCCTCCTTGGGTTTCCAAGGCAGTATCACTACGGAAGTAGATTGCCCAGCCTTCCTTCCGAGGAGTGGCTGATGGGTTTGAACCGCCAGCCTTCGGATGCCTTAGGCACTATGCTATCAGAGATGTGTGAAAATATATATAATTGGAATATGTTAATGTATATTATTAATAACATATAATAATATGTAACAGTGATATTTAAGATTCATGGAACACTTACATTTTTATGTTTCACATTTATTGTTTAATCTTCTGAGCAACTAAAGTGAGAACTAAAGCACAGCGGTTAAGTAACTTCTCAAGTGGTAGACTTGAGAATACATTTTCTCAGCTGCTACACCAAAGACCTCATTCTTTCTGCTTATTCAATAGAGATTGCCTTAAATTGAATAAGTTACACCAGTGGTACTATTAGCTCTAATTTGAAGGACATAATTCAAATCCTTCTCAAAAGTAATTTATCTCTTGTTGCTTACTAATCAGAGCAAGTTGTCATCCACTACACTATGACTTGTGCGTGTGTGTGTGTGTGATGTACCGTCGAGTCGGACCCGACTCATAGTGATTCCTCCTTGGGTTTCCGAGGCAGTATCACTACGGAAGTAGATTGTAGCACTGTGCTACCAGATCTCCCACACTATAACTCATACCACTGCCCATCTCAGATAATTCACTCTGTGTTCTCTTAGTGTAAGTAACTGATGGCTTTGCATTTTTAGTATCTTTAGTATGTATAATTAATTGTAAGATGTTAGTTAGGTCCCAATCAGTATATCCTGTTGAGTACTATACTGGCAGGAAGAATATTGAATCACAATAGATTGAAGTCATTTTGCTTTCCAATTGTATATTTGTTTAATCTAAAGTTTTGTTTGTACTTGAGGATAAGAGCTTTTTAAAAATATCTTTTGTATATTTAGCTGGATGATAGCTTTATCTTATATCCATTTATCACATTATAATGTAGTTTTTAGTACTTTACCATTATCAGGATGGCATAGTTTTAGAAATAGAAGAGATTTCAAAGGTTATTTATGTCTAATAACCTCTGACATTTTGGAAATCATCAGTTAACAAGTCTAATACTTTTATTTCTATTCAGTGTTTTTGATGCTTATTTGCCAATGAACTGTAACTGCACTCATTTTTGGAAGGTTTACTACCAAAGTTAAATTGTTAATATAAAGCAGCCATTTGGTTAATCTTTTTTTTTTTTTTTTTTGTATGTTTTCACACAGAATAAAGAACCTTCAAAATCCAATGTCAAGAAAAAAGTAACCAAAGTTGCAGAAGCAAAAAAAGTAATGAAGAGAAATTTTAAAGTAAATAAGAAGATAATGTTTACTGATGATGGAGAGGTAAGAATATGTAGATGCCTCATTTCTAAGGTACAAAGTATTATAAAGAGTTTGATTCCCCTGCTGCCTTATAATTCAGTAATGATAAAAGTAAGCATTTCTGTAAAGCACAGTGGGCATTTCCTTTCACTGTTGCTATAGGCATCTCATCTGCTATAAATCTGTAGATAAGGATGCCTTAATGGCAGTAAACCGACATACTTCTTGGTGATAACAATACAAGAGTTGTTTTTGAACTTTCTTGACTCTTATCTTTAAAGACAAGTTTTCATGTCATGGTTTCCATCAACATATTTTATGGGTAGAGAAAAATCTTGAATATAAATACAAGAAAAATAACATAGCTACTTGCCACAGCTTCTTTGCTTAACTATGTCTGTCCTCTGTGGTTCCTGAATTTTAGATAGTGCATTTGGTGGTTTCTGGTTATTACTAGACTGGCCGTGGGAAGAACTTTTGTACTTTAAAGTAATCCCAGAAAGATTGTGCTTTGTATTAATCTCACCATTACCTTGGCCTCACAACCTAAGATAGTCCACAATACTCCATTTCCCATCATAATCTCATTCTCCTCACCCTGCTTTATTTTCTTCCATATAGAATTTTATTATGTGACTTTGTATTTCTTCCACAGCAGTGCAAAGGTGTTTTGTTGTCTTTGTTCCCTGTTGTATCCCCACCATCTAGAACAATGACTAACATATAGTAGACCTTAAGAAAATGCTCAGAAAACATTGAGTGAGTGAATGAATCACCATCTAATATCCCAATAAAGTAACAGAACTTTTCTTACTGGCTGTAATGCACCACAGCAGATATTTCATCATCACTAACATAAACACTGCCTGAGTAGCCCTTATCCAATGATGTGTTTCTTTTTCATTTTGAAGTTATGTTATTTGGGGCAAAAGCCAAGATTTACACTAGTAATACAGAGTAAAGTGATGTACACATCAGATGAAAATGTTATTGTTGGAAACTGCAGAGTAAAGCTGTGAAATTCATAGTGAGTCTTTATGAAATTATTAAAACGATGTCAGCACCTGGGAAAAGAGCTGAAAACAAATATAGTTATGTTATTACATCAGATGCTCACTATAAAATAAGTTTAGTGCTTTTAGCATAATGATGTTCCTTAGTGTGCTACTAAGTTTAAGTGTGCAGATTATACCAGTTAGATTCAAGTTGATTATAAATCCTTAAGGATAAAATGTTTAAGTATAATGTATGTTTATTGCTGATGGGAGCTATATGTGGCTATAAGCCATATTAAAACTTCTGATCTAGAACTCTGAAATACTCTTATTGGGTCAGCCTACAGAAGTTAAAACTTTCTTCACTCTGAAATAGAAATAGGGGTTAGGAGTCAGAGTAGTGGGATTATTTTAACAACTGTTCCTCTCACTGCTTCTTTAGTCCCAGTGACTGCTTATGTGGTAATACTAGTTACAGATTTCCAAAAGTTGAGACTCTGTAGGCATCTCATCTTGAAGAATTGTGCCTACAAGAGTGAGAAGAGGGAGAAATACCTGTGATTTGTGTGTCTACAAATTTTCATTTGCTTTCAGGTTAATTAGTAGTCATTCAGAACACTGATAGTGACTTTAATCCTTCTCGCAACCATTTATTAGTTAAAATAAGAAAATTGTTTTTTTCTGAATTGTCTACAGTTTTATAGTGTTAAACTTGGAAGATAGCTTAAAGATAATGCAAACAAGTCTCTTATCTTTCAGTTGAAGATGTGGGTGCCCAGAGATTAAGTCATTAATTTAGAACTGTTCAGTAGCCTGGTGAAAAAAGCCAGGACATTAAGCCAGGCCTCCTGTTGTCTATGTCAGCTTGTTCCTAACCATAAACTGAGCTGTATTTGTAAAATATTGTGGATTTAAGCAGGCCTGTGGGACCTAAGCTGGTTTTCTCCTTTGTGCTTAGCTGTGTCAATCCTTACTGGCCGATGTGTACCTCATTAATTCATCAGTCAATTTTGACAACTTGGTATGTGCCAGGCTCTGGGGATACCAGAATGAGACAGTTGACCACCCTCAAGCAGATTAATTCTAGTGAGAGGAACAAGAAAGTAAAACAATAGAGTAGGATAAGACAAAGGCAAAAGGTACACCCAGGTGTTGAGGCAGCCTGGAGTATTTTTGCATGTATCCCCCTCTCCCCCGCCTTCAGAGGGACACAGGGAACCTTTTGGACTAATGAAAATATTCTCTCCTTTGACTGAAGAGTTACACAGTGTGTATAATCATCACAACTCATCAAACTGTGGACACACGAAATATTTTTACTGTATGTAAATTACACCTTAAAACAAAATGTTGTGTGTAGGGGGGAGCAAAATGAACCCTAAGGCTGAATGAGCTACTTCTTCGCAAAGGATAATTGTGGAAGGTTGTTGTTAGATGTCCTTGAGTTGGTTTTGACTCATAGCGAACCTATGTACAATAGAATGAAACACTGCCCACTCCTGCTCCATCCTCAACAATTGTAGCAATGCTTGAGGCCATCATCACAGCCACCATTCAGGGGCTTTCCCTTCCTTGCTGGCCCTCTACTTTACCAAGCATGATATCCTTCTTCAGGGACTGGTCGCTTCTGATAACATAACCAAAGTATGCGATGGTCTGGCCATTCTCACTTCTGAAAAGCATTCCAGCTATACTTCTTCCAAGACAGATTTGTTGAGGATAAACTCCAGGGATACAGGATTCAGACAGTCTCAACCATCCTCTGAAGCCAGCAGTTTTGGGATGCTTTCAGGGGGTGGGCTGGAATCTGGGGTACATACTATGGCTTTTCCAGTTTCTGCCATGCCCTCTTCCCAGATCAGCATGGTGCTGCTGTGGAGATAATTTGAGCTAAGTTGTATGGAGTGAAGAATACTAACTGAGATATTAAAGCATTTCTATTCTGCAACTCTGTTCTTTTCCAAATTATGTCATGAGATTTTCCTTTAATACTTCTCATTGGATTATGTGTGGAGTATTTTTTACCCTGACTGGGACAATCTTTAAGGAGTTTTAGTGGTGCAGTGGTTAAAGCATTTGACTATTAAACAAAAGGTTGGCAGTTTGAACCCGCCAGCAACTCTGTGGAAGAAAGATGAGGCACTCTGCTTCTGTAAGGATTTACAGCCTTGGAAACCCCATGGTGCAGTTCTACCCTGTGTCACCATGAGTTGGAATCAACTCAGTGGCAGTGGGTTTGGTTATTTGGTTTGGGACAATCTTTGCTGTAACTCAGTTACTTGAATTGTAATTTTTTATAAAGTTGTAGAAGACTTAAGAAATAGAGGTTTAAGGCAGAAAATGGGTATATGCATTATTTCAAAATCATTATACCAAAGAAAATGGTTTTGTGTTGCTATTTCCTGTGTCCTATCTTACACTTAACTTTTTCACTGTTAACAGTTGGTTCAGCAGTGGCCACCAATGCAGAAAACCATTGTGAAGAATACTGAGGAAGAGGATGATACTGGGGGTATCAACTTAGATAAAGCAAAGGAAAGGCTTCAGGAAGAAGATAAATTTGACAAAGAAGAATATAGGAAGAAAATTAAGGCAAAACATAGGGTAAGCTTTGGTAAAAAATTAATATGCCCCTAAATGTGCCTAAACATTTGCTCTCTCTTTCCCCCTCACATACACAATGTAAAATATTTCAGGCTTTTTATATATTTATATATTTTTTATATCTTCATTCAGCAACCTGCCATGTAGCTTGGGAATGTTTCTGGACTTGTACTTGTGGCCTGTCGTGTTGCTTGATAATCTTGGGACTGTGCCATTTTACTTGTCAACTTTGGGTTTTTCAGCCTCAGCTGCCTGAGTTGAGATGCCTCCAGCTCCAGTGGACTGGGAACAAGAGGCAGAGCTGAAGCCCCAGGTTGACAGGCCTTCACCCAGCCCCTAAAGCTGACATTTTGAACTCCGACTTCCAGCCTCCTAAACTATAAGAGAGGGAGCTCTGGTAGCATAGTGCCTAAGGCACTTGACTGCTGACCAGAAGGCTGGCGGTTCAAACCTACCAGCCACTCCTCGGAAGGAAGATGGGGCAATGTACTTCCAAAGTGATACTGCCTCGGAAACCCAAGGAGGGGTCGCTATGAGTCGGATCCGACTCGACGGTACATAACAACAATAACAACAACAAACTATAAGAGAATAGTAAATCTCTGTTTGTTAAAGTCATCCACTTGTGGTTATTTTCTGTTAAAGGAGCACTAGAAAACCAAGACAATTGATATTGCTAATTTTATTATTTATAATTTTTTGAGGTAGAGCTGTTCATTTGTGCATATTTATCTTAAGATATTTCTTTCATTCTTTTTTCGTTAAATAAATACTTAACCTTCCTGTTTGTGTAAGCTGCTTTATTACACTCCTTCGTATAGTAAATCATTCTCTTAGATTTTTAAAATCCCTTACCTAATTAAAAATAAATTTTTACTTTTTAAAAGTATTTCTATTTTTGAAGAATTTTTAAATTTTTTTTTTAAATTCTGTTTTTTCCTCATTTCTAACCTCATTAACCAGAACTTCCTAACTAATAATGTTATAGTAGTGATAAGAGAAGGTATGATAGCATTTCCTGTTTGATTTTTTTTATTTAAAAATTTCTAAGATACACTATATTTTCATGCCTTTTAAAAAATATGGTAGGCATAGTGTAACCTTCTCTTCATCTATTATATAAAGATACTGAAATATTATCTAAAACTTTCCAACTCTTATTTTTATGGAAATCGAGTTATGTTTCTTTGTAATATTAAATGTACATAACATGGGACCCCAGCAGGAGTCTTTGAAACGTTTTCTTGGAAGTATTCTTTATGTTAGCTTGTTATTTGCCCATCCTCTTAGATGTAGAGTGAAGGAAGCAAATTCTCCAGTCTCCTTGGTAGCAGAAGATGGAAAGACATTCTTTTAAGGAGATGGTAGAAGGGAGAAGAATTTCATTTCATAGAACTTTATTCGAGTTCTAATTCATAAAGCACCCTTGGCTCATACCTACATGCCAGCAGATAATGAAATTTGTTTATCTCTGTTTGTGATTAGTGACTTTCTTCTCTATTGTTGGAGTACCTAATGTTTGATACTACCTTTATTGTTTTTGTAGCTTTATTATTTTTCTGATTATGTTAGCATGTTCTCAGTGAAGGAAAAAAAAAAACAGATAAATTCATTATTTTTGATGCCTGTTGCTAATCATACTACTTTCTTCTAACACTTTTCTTCTTTTTTCTGTGGCTACTTTGTGATTTTATCTCCTCCCTTCTTTCTTCCTTCTTTGGCTGTCTAGTTTCTGAGAATGTCATTTCAATCTGCATTTGTCCCAAGGTGACTGAAGTAATGTTAATCTTTTGTTTTGTTTAAATTAGGTTTTACTTTGAGATAGAGTCTCTGAGTTTTCCATTTCTATAGTTTTTGTCATTTCAGTAGCAATGAACCAGGCAAGATCAGAAGGGCAGCTTTATAGCGGGGAGAAGGCTCAGAAGGCAGGAGTGCTTAGGAAAGACAGACACAGGGACATGGTAACCACAGGGAGGAAGTGGGAAGAGAGATGTTATTTTTATTGTGGGGATTGCAGTCAGTGTCTTTAACAACATTGTATATGGACTATTCAATGGAGAACTAATTTGCTCAGTCAACTTTCCCCCCAAATCACAATAAAGAGTTAAAAGAAAAAAAAAGTATTATGTAAATTGGAATCATGTAGTATGTGGCATTTTGAGAGTGGCTTTTTTCCCTGAGCATAATCTCCTAAAGATTTGTCCAGGTTTTTATATGTATCAGTAATTCATTGCTTTTTATCACTGGGTGGTGTTTTATGGTATGGATGTACTACAGTTAGTTTAACCGTGCTCCTACTGAAGGACATAGTGTTGTTTCTAGTTTTAGGCTATTTTATTAATAAAGCTGTTAGGAAAATTTGTATAGAGGTTGTTATGTGACTGTAAGTTTCTTTGGGATAAATGCTTAAGAGTATAGTCGTTGGCTTGTATGGTGATTGCTTAATTTTATGAAGCTGCCCACAGTTTTCCAGTATGACTGACTGTACCATTTTTCATTCCCATCAGCAATGTGTGAGTGATCCAGTATTTTGCATCCTCATCAGCATTTGGTCTTTTGCTCTTTTTATTTTACCAATTCTGATAGTGATATTTCGTTGTAGTTTTCATTTGCATTTCCCTAATGGTAAGTGGTATTTTCATATGCTTTTTTTACCCCATCTGTTTTTCCTCTTCAGTGAAATGTCTCTTCATGTCTTTTGCCCATTCTTTAATTGGATTGTTTGCTTTTTTTTTTGCTGCTGAGTTCTTTCTATATTCTGGATACTAGTCCCTTATTGGGAGCTCTGGTAGTGTAGTGCCTAAGGCACTTGACTGCTTACTAGATGGCTGGTGGTTCATATCCACCAGCCACTCCTCCTCGGAAGGAAGGTTAGGCAGTCTACTTCCATAGAGATACTGCCTCAGAAACCCAAGGAGGGGTCACTATGAGTCGGGTCCAACTAGACGGCATGTAACAACAACAACAACAACAACAGTCTCTTGCTGGATATATGGTTTGTAAATCTTTCCACCAAGTGTGTAGCTTGGTTTTTTATCTTCTTAAAAAAGATCTTTTGCTGAGCGAAAGTAATTAATTTTGAAGCCAAATTTAGTAACATTTCCTTTTTATAGATCTTGCTTTTGATGTTAAGTCTAAGAACCTTTTGTCTACCTCTACATTACAAAGATTTCTCCTATTTTTTTTTTCCTTCAAAGTTTTAGTCTTACTGTTCTGATTACCTAGTGCCACTCTGATAAGAATATACCACAAATGGGATGGCCTTAACAAACAGGAGTTTATTCTTTTAGAGTTTGGAGGCTTTAAGTCCAAGTTCAAAGTGCCAGGCTCTAGGGGCTGAGTGGACCCCCCTCAATCTTGGGGTCCAGCTCTGCCTCCTGCTCCCAGCCCACTGGAGCTAGAGGCGTTTCTGCACTCAGACAGCTGCTGGCTGCTGAGGCTGATAAACCCAAGGTTGACAAGTAAAAAGGCATAGTTCCAATGTTACCAAACCACACGGCAGGCCATTAATTTAAGTCCATTGTAAGTCCCAAGGTTGGCAGAGCATGGCAGGCTACTGAACAACAACACATGCAGGGTCCAAGTGTGCCATAGCTGGAGACTATCCCCAAGTCTTCTCCTTATATAGAGGAAGCAGACCACATCCTAAAGGCAGCTACTCAGCTGCTTGTGGTGGATCCCACCATGGAGTTGATTGCCAGTCTCATCATGGGGAATAACTACCACCAGCTGCCTAGCCACTCAACCAGGCCCAGCCAAGCTGACATACAAATTTACTACACTTCATTTTACATTTTAATCGGTGATCAATATTGAGTTAATATGTGAATGAAGTATGAGATTTAAGTTGCATTTTTTGCCTGTGGATGCTATGTCAATGGTCCCTGTTAGGTGATTGGTTAGGAAGACTCATGGGACTCAGTATATAATTTTACTCATAGCTATGATTTAATGTAATTTAAGCTATAATTTAAGGAGCTCTGGTGGTGCAGTGGCAAAGGCATTTGACTGCTAACCAGAAGGTTGGCAGTTAGATCCAGCAGTCACTCTGCATAAGGAAGATGGGGCAATATAAAGATTTACTGGCTAGGAAACCCAGTGGGGTTTGCTGTGAGTTGGAAGCTACTCAACGGCAGTGGGTTTGGATTTTGATATTGCAAAGCAAAACCAACAAAGGGAAAAGGTACATAGGGTCAAGTCTGGAGGAAATTAGTCAGGAGCTACTAAGAGTCCTCTCCCAGTGAAATCACATGGGACACACATAATTCATCCATCAGTGAATGGTGACAGTATGTGTGAAATTCTTTCTACCAGGGAAATTCATTAGCAACTCAGTACCCAAAGTTTTTATTGGGGTCGCTCTTGTAGACGTCTTCCGCCTATGTACCAAAACTCTAGACTACCATAAGGAAAGCAGGCATTCAACATAAACCCTGTTCTTTCATTTTTATGAGCAGTTTAAGCACAGGGAGCCACTTTCAGCTCATTTAGGTTGGGTTTTATATTATTGTAGGGAACTGTTTACCATTCTTAATCCCAAGTATTAGCCAAGGGCCAGCCTTGCAAACATGCTTTTCTAAGGTTGGCTAGCAGTCTCAGGGCTGCTGTGTTAACTCTGTTCTGCACAGAGGTTGAATTGCTCCAGCACTATTTGTTCAAAAGGTTATCATTCCTGTGTTAAATTGCTTTTGTGCCTGTGTCAAAATTCACTTGTGCGTATTTGTATAGGTCTATTTCTGGATTCTCTGTTTTGGTCCATTTATCTATGTGTCTATCTCTCCATCAGTTCCCACTGTCTTGATAACTGTAGCTATGTAATAAGTCTTGAAAGAGGTAGACTGATCGCTTTCATTTTATTCTTCTTCAAAATTTGCTAGTTCTTTGGTAGTGCCATCCATACAAATTTTAGAATAATCTGGTGTATATGTACAAAATTTTTACTTAGAATTTTGCTAGGAATTTCATTACGTCTGTGTATTAATTCATGGAGAATTGATGTC